AAGTCTGTGTGCTCTTTCCAAACTGGGAAACGCAGTCTTGTGTGCTTCTTGCTCTCACACAAAACACCTTGCACATCACTTATACATGCCACGGAGGATTTTGCTAAATTAACTATGTGATCCTAGACATATTTACTCACAAGTAAAGCCCAATGAGACCTGCTCAGATGAGAGCATGCATCAGATATCATCAGGCTGAAAGTTTGCAAGTGAAAGAGAGATCATGTATACTTTCCCATCATACATGAGATCAAATGCACTGCAGAAATAAATGCTGTTTGACAGCACTTTAACTGCCATGGCTCAATGCTATGGAATCCTGGGATTTGTAGTTTGCTGCGGGACCAGAGCTCTCTGACAGAGCAGGCTAAATATCTCACAAAACTGCCAAATCTCAGGCTTCCATAGCATTGAGCCATGGCAGTTAAAGAGGTTTCATAGTGCATTCATTCTGTACTAGAGATTAAGCCAACGTCCAAACTTGGTTGACTGCTCCCTAGGGTCATTGGTCTCTTCAAATTAAAGAGTAAGGGTGGAAAGAATATTTGGAAAAATGGTTGAAAAATGTGTTCCTTGAGCGTCGAGAAAGTCTGGCGAGAAGAATCCTCGACAGACAAGAATCTTCGCAGCTTGAAGCTTATTCTATGCAAAATTCACCCACGGTGGTCATGCACAGAAACGGTGGTTTCTCTGCATAGAAAACAGCATTTTCCTGTGCATTCTCTTCTGCACAGAATATGCAGCCTATTTCCATGTGGAAAAGGCTGCCTTCTGCACAAAAGAGCCATGTGCAATTTTTGTGTGTGCAAAGAACAGGTATCACATACTTTGAATAGACTTCCTAAACTGCAGATTTTGAAGACTTTGCAGCAAGAGGAAAACTGCTAAATTGCTTATTGTTTCAAGAAGAAAATGAGTGAACACCTAGTCTCTTTTACACTATTAAGCAACTATTTCCTACTTACTAGGGTAGATAAGATATTTATTTATTTATAAATACAATAAATAAAAATAAGATAAGAGTCATAAAGCCGGGAGTTAAATCAGCTGGAAGACAGAATTGCGTGAAAAGTTTAGAAGAGAATCTAAACACTACAGTCGATGGGATCTCTTTTTCTAGGAGGCTGTTGTTTAAAAGGAAAGGGTGGCTTTCATTCAGCACTACTTTAGATGGGAAACAGATTGTTGTGCTTAGCTATTTTTTATTATTTAAAAAAGTCTGCTTCTTAGCAGTGCGCTCCCAACACACCAATGTGACAGCAAAGAAAGTTGCCTCACTGTGATCCAAAACACAGAACCAAAATACAAATTCAGATGTCGTTCCAAGAGTCCCTGGATTCCCTGGGCGTTTTCTTTTTTAAACTGTGGCATGAGTTGAAAGCTTTCTTTAAAAAGAATCACTTTTGCACATGTCCCAGAGGAGATCACCGATATGTCTGGATGAGATATCCTTCTCTAGACAGAGAATTCCAAAGGCGGAGAAATCACAGCTACATATTTTCATGCGCTGTCAAACTCTGATCAAACAGATTTTAAAAATACAATGCTCACATGGGACCTGTTTATTATCCGACTGTTTTGGGGAGGATCGCATCCCATGTGCTTTCAACAGACTGCAAACACACAAGCACAGATTCCTGCCATTGCCTCCAGCTAAAGCTCTTTGGTGGGTCTCAAAGAGAACTCCCCAAAAGCCAGCATCTCTTGTCTCTACAATTGTTGAGAAGGAGACAACGCTGAAGCAGATCTCTTGTTTTACTCTTAGGGAAGCACAGGAGCATCACTCCTGTGCCCACAACTTTTATAAACACAACATAATGCTGGCTTTCAACCCAAGAAAGAAAGGCCCAAAGTTCTCCAGTCCACCCACCGGAGCAACCTGAGAGCCAGAAGGTGCAAGAGATGGAGGGGACAGGTTAGCAAGCACCTGTGCTTGAAGGAGGATCAAATCTTTAGCAGGTTGCTACAGAGGGAAAACATGCAAGGCACCCTTCTTTGCTCAGGGATACACAACGGTGGTGGATACGTAGCAACTTTATCAACTGGGCAACAGTAGGAAGATGGTTTTGATCACTCTCTCATTTCCTCTGGGTCTCAGATCAGATGTAGAAGTGAAGGACAAATCACATTCCTTTGGGAAGACATTGGTGGGGACCACTATACACAGTAGTGATGCATGGTGTTGGTTGTCATCGTGCTAATATATTAACTTGAACTGCTAGTTTTTCCTTCTGGGTCTTGTGGCCAGCATGGTGTAGTGGTTTAAGCATTGGACTATGACTCTGGAGACCAGGTTTCAAATCCATGCTCAGCCATGGAAACCCACTGAGTGGCCCTGGGCAAGTCACAGTCTCTCAGCCTCAGAGGCAATGGCAAGCCCCTCTGAAAAAACTCGTCAAGAAAATCTCATGATAGGTTCACTTTGGGATCACCATAAGTCGGAAACAACTTGTAGGCACACAAACACAACTTGTTTAAAACTTCTCGGGGGGGGGTAGCATTCAGAGGCATAGCCATGTTAGTCTGCAACACTAATGTGCAAAGGGAATTTGTAGTACCTTTGAGACTAACTGAGCAAAAGATTCAAAGATAGAGCCATGTTAGTCTGGAAAATCAGTTATGCAAAGAGATCTTGGAGCACCTTTGAGACTAACTAAAAGAAAGGAAGTTGGTACAAAGATGTTGTTGCAAGCTGTTGGTCTACATGCATGCATGAGGAAGTAGACCAAGTCTATGAAAGCTTGCTGCAACATCTTTTGCTCAGTTAGTCTCAAAGGTGCTACAAGATCCCTTTGCATACTGATCTCTCTAAGGTTGTGGATTCTCTCTCCCAACGGCTCCCCAGTGTTATTGCCTTTGGTTGCTTTAAAGAAACCATTGACTTCAGAAAGTATAGCTGGGACTATGGGGCATTGTACATGTGCTCTGAGCTACATCTTGTCTGCGGCATTTTACAGTCCCATTAATGTTTGCTCAGTACAGAGTTTCGTGGGACCGAATGGAGCTTTTTCTGAAGAGATGGCACTCCCTCAGCCCAAACCCTGTGCCAGCTGATTTAGGAGCTAAGTCCCATGGCATTCAGCTGGGTTTGCTCCCTAACGCAGGTGTTTATGGTGGCAACCTCAGCGTCAAACTCTTCCAGGAATCCAGCACTGATCCGATTCACTGAGTATTTGTGAAGATGGATCACAAAGTCCCCTTTTTATATGTTACAGATGCTGAACTCAATGACGGACGGCAACTTTCTTAAAAGGGAACCCTTTATGGCTGACAGAACTCAAACTCCCAAATACTCATTTGATAGTCTGGCTTATTTGCAACACATTTCGACAGGGATGCTGGGGAAAACCTGGAAATTAAAACTGTTCAGAATGTATAATGTTGCTTCCATAGGTGGAAAGATCATGCCACTGCGGATCATTGTTCTTGGGAAGGCGCATGATGCTTGAAAGCCAGAGCAAACAGGCAATGTCCCCCCCCCCAAGTCCAGAATTAGCTCCAAGATCTCATTAAATTACTGGATTTTAAAGGAATTTTATAACCGATTGCACTCAGATTAACTAGAAATCTGGATTCCACGGGAAGTCCAGGTTCGGTCGTGACTTTTCAAGTTGTTCCTCACTCACAGTGTGGAGGTTGCGGCTTTACGTACTTCGGATAAGAGGCAAAGCAACATGTTTCCAGCACCATCTCTCCTGCTAAAACAACTTCATCCAAAACGTACAAACTTTAGGGTTACACCAGATCCTTCGCCAGTCAGAATGGAGGGGGGAAATAGTTGCAAGGATGAAGAGCTAAGGTGAAAAAGTCATCATAATGAGTAATCTCTTCACTAAGGCGAGTTGGATAGATAGATAGACAGATAGATAGACCATGGACATTTATGGTAACCTGGAGGAAAAATATTTTGGATATGTCAACTGTGGAGCTCACCATCTTTTGAGGGACATGCCTAAATATCAGCCCACAGAAATATGTATATCGCAGTGTTTAGTTTTCTTTCCCTTTTAAAATGTCAACACCAAATCTTGACAGCGCTGCCACCTCTCGGGTTGTAGGAAAGGATTGCTCAAGGAGCATAGAATGACAGTCAGAAAGAGACAAGAAAATAAAGCTGGGCAACTCACCAGGGCGTAGACGGAACTCAGCACCGAGCAGCAAACCATCAGCCCCAAAGTGTGAGAGACCAGGTAGGATCCCATAGCCAAGGTGAGCATCCAAAGGGACTCTCTCTCTCTCTCTCTCTCTCTTGGCAAGCTGGCCCAAGGCTCCCAGAAGTAATCCTGTGGCCCCTTTGGAGGGGGTCCTGAGGGCACCCCCAGGCCTTGGAGAAGAAAGAGGGGGACCAGGGGAAGGAACTAGAAGGCCAGGGTGCCCAGATCTTTGGCCCGCTTCCTCATGGCGGGGGAGAGTTTGGACAGTTTGGCATCAGCAGCCCCAAAGGAGAAGGGCAAGAGGAGAAGGTCCATGAGGCAAGGAGTCCCTTGGGAGTCCCCCCAAAAGGAGAGGCAGCCTCAGAGGCTTCAGGCGGCGGCA